TGCAAGTATTTTAATTAAACATGTTTTAAGTTTCACAAGCGTGGAAAAAAAGGTGGGATGGGCAGCAATGTTAAATAGGTCAATATTTTAACCATTATTGTGTATAATGTATTGCAATTGCAATAAAATATATTTTACTATTGTGAGTTTTATCCTAAAATGTTGTTATATTATGGGAAATATTTTTTTCATTAGCATCATTGAGGACTCTTTTTTTTTTTTTTTTTTTTGTTCTCTCTCATTACTTCACATATTTCATGTGCTCAGATTTGGCGTAAGCAAAAAAGGTTTGGAAATTACCATGTAAAATGTGCTTAAAATGTTGTCTCGGACTCTTTTTTCCTTTTTCGTGACTGCAGCTATTCGGTGAAGCCAAATTAAATTTTTTATTTCTTAAAGCAACCTCACGCGCAAGGATAAAAACAAAAGCAAACGGTTAACTTAGGCTATGGTCAACTGGTGAGGTACATCACAGGCATCCAAGACTGAAGAAATGGTACGAGAACGATCGTTCAGTAAATAAATTCGTCTTACATTGTGGTTACGTAGCAACCGACTGCAACCAGATCTTCATTGTTTATCATAACAACGGCCTTGAACTATTAATGACTGGTTGTAGCATTGTAATGCTGTTGCCACACTGATTTATTGTTGCAAACTAAACATATTTATTTTGTAATATTAATTCTTGCTCATATAAATGACAATTACAAATTTGAGCTGTTATTTGTAAATACAATGTTAAGTAATTGTTTAAAGTTTCTTTGATTATGCGCCACTATTTAATTTTTATTCTTACTTGCTCCTATCAATTTACTAAAGACTAAAGTCTTAGAAACTAAGAAAGTGTTGGGTTGCGTTAAGAGAACGTTCATGCCATTAGACTTAGCAAAATGATCCAACATAAACTACAGCTTTAAAACTATTTTTATTTATTTTTTATTTTTTACATAGGCTCATGCTATTTTAGATTAAATATTAGTTAGTTAAAATATGAATTTCTAGCTGAAGCGTTTGCTTGTCTGTAAAGATCCCTACTACTAACAATAAATATAACTCATAACAAAGTACAACATCCTTCTCCCCCCCCCCCAACCCCCTTTTTTCAGTGCGTACATAATATGGAGAGCCCCTTGATGTTTAAAATACATTGTTTTTGACGTCATGGTCATTCAAGGAATTCAAAAGTTTTACAATAATTTACCGCGTCTCATTCGTCGTGGCTATTAACACTAGTCTTTCTAAATTATTTTAAGTTTGAATATTTAAACAAGAAAGACTAAGTTATATAATGACCCAAATATGTGGTAGGCACTATCGTTGCAATTTAGTAGATTTACACACCCTTTATAAATTAAATAGTGGGCCCAAAGTCTCTGTATATAATCTATAGGAGGCGTTTTATTCGTGATTTGTGAATTGTTCCCACCGAGTTCTTATTTTTCAACAAAATAATTAACATGAGTTCAATGACACTGTTATAAATCTCTAGGCCTGTAACATGGGCGCCCGCAGGGGGGGGGGGGGGAAGGGGGGGCCTTCCCCCCCCCCCCCTGGATTGATTGGATAAAAAATTTTTAGACAAAAATAGACAAAAAATTTATCAAAGTAAAGAGAAAATAAAGAGAAAGTAACTAAGCTGATGTGCTGTCCGTTCGTTCACCATACAAATACGCCACAGTAAATTAAAACTACATTAAAACATTACTAAAATTTTTTGCCGCCCCCCTAGAAAGTTAATCGATTTTTTTGCACCCCCCCCCCTAGAAAATTTTCTGCGGGCGCCCATGGCATGTAACAACATCAATGCTGGCATGATATCAGCTGAAAGAAAAAATTGCCAAATAAAATAAAGTCAAAGAATAAGCCGTGTTGAGCAGAGGTATCTGCCAAGAACTTCATTGGGTGTCTATGTATTGCAGAGGCGTAGCGAGGGGGGGGGGGCTGGGGGGACAGATGTCCCCGGGCGCAAGCTAGTTAGGGGCGCCAAAATGTGCTTTTATATTATTTTATTGGTAAAAATAATGGGTTTGAGAGTTGAAAAAAAAAAGAAAAGGAGGCGCTTTGAAATGGATCTTGTCCCCGGGCGCGAATCTTGTCCCCGGGCGCCAAACACCCTCGCTACGCCTCTGATGTATTGTCGATGTCTAGGGCATGACTCTTACACCAGTACACAAGAATATGACGCCTGACGTGAAGTCCTTCCCAATTATTAATAATTAAACTTTGACTACACTAACACTGTTAATCTACCGTGTCCTCAATACCAACACTATCACAAATAATCCAGTTAGTTCAGTACGTTTTGCCAACAAGCTGAGTAAAAGAACTACGCACTAAAGGGATCACTTGACTCAACTTCTTTCTCTTTTACTCCTTCAATCCTTCCGTTCAACAACTCTTCCAAAACACTCATCTTCCGTTGTTTGCACGAGTTCCTACGCAAGCTTTTCTCTTACACTGGCATCGGGACTACTTTCATAATACAGCTGACATTTCATCAGGGACTCTAACGTTGTCAGTATCTTTACTAGGATTGGCGTCGGTAAACCAATGGTGTCACCCTCTCCAGACTTCCTCATGGACCTCCTCCGAGCCTGCACGCTGTAGTGAAAACTCTTCCAGTGTCACCCAAAATTGGCGACAATATGCCCTGCTGGCTACCAATTCTAGGGACACCCTTTTCTGGTGGCACCTTGCTCTGATTACACCCTGTTCACCCTTTTGGCACCCTGACTTGTATTCAACTGATACCTGTTATGAAGCAGACCCGAGTGAGATCCGTTAAAATGCATATTTACCAGTTGGTGTCACCCCCTTGCTAGGATGTCACCCGGTGCAGTCAGCACCCGCGGAACCCCCCCCCCCCCCCAAAAAAAACTAAAACAACCCGTCTATTTACGCGGCCCCATACAATAAATGGAACATTTAAGCATGCTTGTCTTCACTGTGACTCTACAAAGCTTGAACAAATATGTTTCAATGACCAACCATATCCAGTTACGAAGAGCTCTAAAAAAATGTGTGGGAGTTGGGGGGGGGAGGGGGGGGGTTTGCAGGATCTTCTTTTGTAATTGCTGCGTAAGGGTGGGGAGGAGAAACGAGAGCTTCTATCAAAACTTAAGAAATGTTTTTATTATTGTCTCTTTTCCATGTTTGTAACTATACATAGGATATAAGAATAAACATGTACCAGCAATATTGTATAATAACTTTTGTCAACATTTCTTTCCACGACGGAATCCCTTCCCCCCGATGAGAATACCGTTTTCCGATGAGATTCCGATCCCGAGTCTCCCATTTCCGGTAAAATCCCGATCCAGATAAGGGCGTTTATAACCTTAAAACGATTATGAAAAAAAAAAAAAAAAAAAATCAAAGGTTCTAGAATAGGGGTCGGCAACCTTTTGAGACGGAAGAGCCAAAAGTTACAATTTACAAAATTTCCCAGTTTTTTTTCCCAGCATGGAACTGAAGAGCCGCATCTTGACATCAAAAGAGCCGCATGCAGCTCGCGAGCCGCAGTTGCCGACATCTGTTTTAGAACAATCTAGAAACTTCATGAACTTATAAAAAGATGACTAAGCGATACCGAGAAAATCCGCAGGAAATTATAGAAATGAACAGAACTAAACTAACATTAAACTTTTCAATAAGCTTTCAGATCCCAAAATATAATAATATGGCCGTGAAACAATACAGATCATTCTGTATATTCTGTAAATTTAATAACTTCTTAGAAGCGTGTGAAAAATGACTTTCCAACGTAATTATTTTTCGAATACGAACAATTCTATAACTTTAACCATTTTTCATTTACTTTAAAAGGGCCGGCCACCCGGTGGGGGTCCATTCCAATGTTCCCTTTAAGCTGCACGGCTGCGCGGCCACGCAGCTATCTCACAGATGCCGCGCAGCAGTTTTGAAGACAGCGCAGCAAATTTCCATGTCAAATGTCTGTTTCTTTTGTGGGCTGTAAAATTTTGCACACAAAAAAATTGATGCTATAAAACTTTGCACACAACTGTATGACTTTGCACACGAACCAGCAAATCTTAGAGGGAACATTGGTCCATTCCATATGGTACCATATTAGTTATGCCTGACGTAGGGGCCCTATAAAAATCATTGAAATAAATGATGGAGTTAAAATTTAAAAGTGGTCCCATTCAAATCGTGTTAAATTAGCCATAGGTAGAGCCTTTAAAATAAATTATCAAACTTTCTGCAAAATTCTTCGTTAGCACTGAAAGCATTGGTGTATCATTTTTTTTTTAAATTTATGGATGGCCCTCTACTTTTAAATGTACAAAAGTGAAAATCTCCTGTCAGAATACATATTGATTATATCACAAGAGAAAGCGTAACATCACTGGCGATTTTGGGTTTTATTTGTATGATATAAAAATATACAATGTGTGACGTCATACAATAATCTTTGCCCCCCCTCTCTTTTTGTCACAAACGGTCACGCCTTCTTAGACCCGCCCCACTTTTTTTTCCCACGCACACATTCACACATTTTTTCCGGAGCGTTACGTAATATATGGACGGCCACTACTAGTAACTGCGTTTTACTTTTATTCCCGAAAAATTCAACACAATAATACTAATAATTGTGATTAATAATGAAATAGTATAATGAATCTTCTAAACTTATACACTAAACACCATGTGCTTTTACAAGCAAAATACATAATTAATCGGTGACCGGAGTGACCGCTTTATTAGTTTGTGGGCATCAGTGAAATCCAACTTAATTCTAAATGTGGGTGTTATGAATATTTATTACTGTCCAACAAGTAATATTTACAGCGACTTCAATTGACAATTTTTAAAGTACGTATAATACAATTAAACGGATACAGCCTAACAATTACAGAATGGGCCATCAAAAGTAGCCTGATAATTAGAGCTCTTTTTTAAAAAGAAAAAAATTAAAATTTTTAATCTTCTTTTTACGACATTTATCAGCTAAATTTAGCTCTACTTTTGGTAATGGTAAACACGTCAAAGGTTCAAAATGGCGGATAGTGGACTTGGAGGTGTATTGGAAGATGATACTAGCTGGTAAAATATAGAGCAGCGTATAACAAAAAATATAGTCTTTAAGTCTCAGAAATATAAATGTATAATTTTAAATTTTATTTATTCTTTATAAGTTCTTTGACACGTGGTTTTACCAACATGTGTAATAATGAAAGTTCAATAAAAAAAAATATAGAAATATTTTTTTTTTATAGTTATTAGTTATTAGTTTAGTGAATTAAAATTAAGTAAGTTTTAATAATTGTTGGCTCAGCACAGTGGAGAGTTGACAATGCCAGTCCTGTGACTGTGAGTGATCTATCCCTAGGATAAGCTTACACAGTAGCTTCATACCGAGGATGCATACCGAGCATGTTGACACCCTCACAGGGGGCTGAAACTTAATACTTGACTTAAATAGAACATTATAGTTATAGTTATAGAATAGAGCTTGCCCAAAATACTCAGATCAATATTTCATAACAACACTCCAGATCAAAGTTTGTGTCTAAGTTAAATAAATTAAATACAAGACTAAATACAAGAGCAGCAGAGTGACACCAGAAAAAGCCTAAAACAGGTGACACCACAACAGAGTGCCAACAGAGCAGTGGTTTAACTGTGCACGGAGACAAAAGATGTTAAAGTCAATGTGGATGTCATTGTCAGGAATGTCATTGCAGGGTTTGTTTGTTTTGGAGTGGGGGGGGGGGGGGATTTTGGTTTTTGGGTTTTTTTTTTTTGGGGGGGTTTAACTGTGCACGGAGACAAAAGATGTTAAAGTCAATGTGGATGTCATTGTCAGGAATGTCATTGCAGGGTTTGTTTGTTTTGGAGTGGGGGGGGGGGAATTTGGCTTTTTGAGTTGTTTATTGCTGGAGGAGCAACAGCGAATAGTAATTGAAATAAAACCAGCAAATGACATCCCTGGTTGTGAATCATGAATTCACCTCACACTCACTGGCCCAGTGCCAGTTACTAACAGAAAACTTTTATTTTGTCTCTAGTCTAATGAGTAAATATTTATTTTTAAAAGAGTGCATATGATTTAAAATAAAAATCATTAACAGTCCTGAATCCTTTAGTCTTAAGTGTAACCAAACTCTCAACTGTAATTGTAATGGTAGCCCTTGTCTTATAAAATTATGGCTATCTTACTATGAGTGACTGTATGTTACACAGTATTGAGTAGTTACTACACTAAAGTGAAGCTAAGGCCAAATGAATTACCCCCCAACTTCTTTTTGTTTAAGTTAAGTAGGTAAGACACTAAAAAAAAACAATAGTAATAGTTCTAGCCTAAGCTTCTAAACATTTAGAATTGCAGTCCACGCCATCAGGTTTATGTGCATGATGTAAGATAATAATGACACTTATTGACTTAGAGATGGGTTCTGTTCAATCATGGTTCTAGAGCAGGGGTCTCAAACCGAAATCATCCGCGGGCCACAGGAGGTAGAGTCTAAGTGCGACTGGGCCGCAACAAGTATTTCACAAAAAAGTGATTACAAATTCAAAAAAGCACAACTATTACAATCTACTCTACCTTTGTTATTGTTAATAACAAATAAAAACATTAAGGGTTCTCGAGACCTAGGCTACACTTTCTTCCGCCTACTCTTTGTTGCCAAAGACCTGGCAGCGCTTCTCCTTATACAGCTGAGCAACATAATTTGGCTTGAGAGAGGAAGCAACTGAGACCCTCAGTCTAGCTTAAAGATGCTCATCAGTATGTTTGGTCATGAACTTTGATTTGTTAAAGTTCATAGTGGAAAAGAGCTTTTCACACAGATGTGTACTCCCAAAAAAAGGCACATGATCTGATTGAATAACCTGGAAATCTCAGTGAAGGTGGAGGGCAATGCTCACATAAATTGTCCATGATTGTCAGTGTTTCCCTTCACCTCCCTGAACTTAGAATTGCAATGAAGATCAATCAGCTCGGTTTACAACGTTTTTTTTTAAAAGGGGGGGGGGGTGTCATCTTCCACATTAAAGGAAAAGGGGTCAGCAAAAGTTGATCTGTGTTTTAAAGTGTAAAAAAATGTGATCAAATTCTTTCTGTAGCTTTGCTATGGCATCATTATACTGACTCGGTACTAATGAATGGTGTGCCCAAGTCCATGAGTACTTTGCATGTTAGGAAATAGCAGAGGTTTCTTTAAGTACCATAACATAAGTTTTGTGCAGAATGCCCTGACATTGTCATAGTCATAGGCAACACTGACAAGCTGCGCCTGTTCTTGTAACTTCTTGATGAGTACATTTAGCTCCTGTGCAATGTCAACAAGAAAAGCCAAGTCCATGAGCTATTTGGGTTTATTTAATACAGGAACTACCACCCCACTCTTCTCCATGAAGGCTTTTAATGCTAAAACGTGCTTAAACAGTAGGCAGGAGCAGGCAATAATTATGTATTATTGATGCGAAGGAAGATGCTATTGTAGGGAGAATGAATTAAGATTTTTTATCGTTGCAAAGGCCTTTTTGACTAACCCTATTGAAAGTGACCAAGCTGACAGGCTCGGAATTCCCCTCACTTGTAAACACTAGGATTGCTATGATGTACACAATTATGGTGCATTACCCAATAATTGACTTTTTAAACTTTTCTCAAAACTGCTTTTTGGCTATGTTTGTCTCATAAAATTCAATAAAATAAAAATGTTTAGTCCTTAGTCCGGCTTTAAAAAGATTTTTACTATTATAATCAACGTCCAAATCTATCCAAACATTAAAAAAAATCAGAATGAGACTAGTCGGTGAGATTTGACTGAAACCGTTGCGGAGGGTCACATTATAGATATAAGAATGGGGAAAACATGCGGGCCGCGCTAACACTAAATTTTGCTGTCATGTAGTGGGCAAAAAAATATTGTCTTGCGGGCCGCAAATGGGCAGCGAGTTTGAAAACCCTGGTTTAGAGAGAGATATGCGCGTAACCAGGTTAAAGTGCTGTTCAGTTGCGTAGATTATTTCTTAACAAATTTTATCGCGTGTAAACTTTAGTGGATTCGTTAGTAAATTAACTCCAGTCAGTAATGGTTAACTAACACTAAATTGTACAGCCCAAACTTGTCTTTTATTTGAATTCTAAAACATCTTTGAACAGCCCCCTACCCCTATTGGTACATAGCCCGTGTCTGATCTTCCCATTTGTCTTTTTTTTCACCCTATATACTATATGCCAGATTTTTTCATCTATAGGTTGGTTTCAAAATTTCATTTAGTATACTGTGCTATGTACCACTGGGGCCTGTTCAAAGACAAAATCAAATTAAAATAAAATTTATCTCTGTACAATTTAGTGTATGTTTAAATGCAAAATTACACAATTCGTTAGGAAATAAAATGCACACTTGAACTGCACATTTATCCATAACCATTTCCCCCTTGAGTTTCCTCTGAAAACAACGTGGTGTATTGTTTGTAAACAAATTTGTTTAATTGTTTAACACGTTAGGCTGTCAGAGTTGGAGACTGCTTTGGTTGAGGAATGTGACTTCAGATCTCTCAGGAATATTTGCAAAGGGAGGCCTGTGCCAGAACATTTGAGGGGAGAAGTTTGGCAAGTATGTGTAAAAAATTCTCCATGCAGTGCATTCAATTTTTAAAAGAAACAAAACATTATTAATTTACTTTTTGGTAGCTCATGTCATGAAACATTGTATCTCAATTTTTAATTTTTTGGTTTAAAAAAAAATGCATCTCTATATTTGTAGATCTTAAATTTAATTTTGAAAAGGCTCACATTCTCCAAACTCGGGAAGGCTCATTCTTTCACCCAACTAAATTTACTGAGCATTATAGGGAAATAACAAAATAAGTAATTTCTTGCTCTTAATCTATTAAGCATTAGATATCTTTATGGTTTTTGCATTTCTGCTAAAAATCCAGAGCTTGCATTAATTGCTAACAACTAACATCATCCTGGGCTTTGTATTAGAAGAAAGTTTATATGTTGCATTATACTTTGATTTACAGATATGCCTGGGAACAGTTGGTAAAGATGCTTTGTCTGGTTTTGATGGGTTGTATGACATGGAGGGACAAGGACAACTACGGGAAGATTGTAAAACTTTAGTAGGTACGGGAACTAGAAATGGAGAGCATGTATTTTTTCATGTGACTGAGATATTAAAAGAAAAATTGAAAGGGGTTAATGTTATGGTATGTTATATGATTTCATCAGACTAGTAAACCTTTGGCAACTGCCACTTTCAGCCATTGTTACCACTGTTCGGCACGTTCATTACACAGTACTATACAAAATAAATGTACCCTTCATCACTTTAGTAAAATTTTATTTTCCTCTAGAGTGCTTTAGAATATTCTTTACAAAATAAAAATTATTTTTTCATCTTTAAACTTTCACCAAATTTTCTTGTTTATGACACAAACTAGTCTCCTGTTTTTATCCTTAGTGCATTTGTATATATACGTCTCTTTGCCACTGTAAAAGTCATGCTGTGTGAAATTTTTGTGGGGCTAGAGAGAGTGAATTTGTGGGTTTGTGTCAGTTACAATAAATTTAACACATTTAATTATTTTTCTCTTCATATCTTAATTATTCTGTGGAAAGATAACATTAATCCACATCTTATTTTTTAATGTATTACATCACCTTAATATTATTAGGCAAACTTGGCAATGACGAAGAGGATAAAGTTTCAATAGTTAGTGACTTGGAGACAACAGTGACATATTATTGCAAGTCCAGAGGTCTCAAGTATGCCCATGGTAATGGATGGATGGACATGCTCCAAGTTTTGTTGGCCGTGAAGATGAGCCAGTCAGAATTGTACAACTGTTTTTATTCTATTCACAACAAATACATACCACAGTGAGTTAGATCATGCTTTATTTGGTTTATTAAATCCTTTATATTAACTTTGTTTTTGTGTGGTTAGGGCAAAATGTTTGGCTGGCTAATTGACACACTTCCTGTCAACCTATCAAGCTGAAACTTGGCATATAGATTATTTGGCAATAACAATACATTCTATCCCCAACTCCCAAAATTCAGTTGTTTTTTTCTGTTTTTCAAGGGGAGGATGAAGGTAATATGATGTCACTAATTTCATCAAATAAAATTCCAGATAACTGCGAGATTCTTAAAAAGAAATATGCAAGTGTATTTGATGTGTAATATTTTCTTTTTTTTTTTTTGAAAGAGTTGGTGAAATATATTTGTGGTTTAAAAGCAGGTGGGGCATTAGAGTTTTGATATAAAATAAAATAACTACAAAATGCATATAAAAGCTTTGTGTATAAACTTCATTTTTTGGGGTTGTTTATTCTCAATGAAAATTCACTGCTGTGTTATTTTGGAAGCTGTTTTATTCTTCTTTCAAGTGTACTTGGTAGAAAGCATTATTTTTCTTGCCACAGCCAAATCTGTTAAAGTAGGTTGTTGGGGGTTCTGTGATTCAATGGTTGGTGCCTTTAGTGATTACATCAAACTCAAACAATGACATTTCAACTGCAGGCTGTCAATGCTGAACCAGCTTTAAAAATATATGTAATAAATCATTCTTACAACCATTTGATTTATGTTGCTCGGGTAATTCTCTTTTATTTTCCTTGTTTTTGTCTAGTGGATGTAAGAAAAATGGGAAACCATTTCATCTTTTTCGACTCCTGCTTCAGTACCATGACCCAGAGTTGTGTTCTTATCTAGATACACGTAGAGTTACCCCTGATCTTTATGCAATGTCGTGGGTGAGTTGTCTGTCTCTTATTCATTTTTATGTAAAATTTTTGCAGCAGGCTAATTCACAAGTAGTGCCATTATGGTCCTGTTATGAGACGGTGCCTTGAAAGTGTCTCTTTAAGTGACAGCATCTGTTTTGGGGCACTGTAGAACTGTACTCAGGATCAAAGTGAATATGTATTTTCTTGATCTGCAATCTTTTAAAATGAATAGTTTTTATAGATAGATCTGTATCAAAGTTGAAAACATAGCAGAGCATTTTCCTAAAGTTTCATTCATTAAACAATTTGCACTACTTGCTACTGAAACTTTGATTTAACAGTTCAACAGCTTGTTTGGTGGAGTTTGTGACCTGCATGTGTGTTTAGCCATGTGGGATGTGATATTTCAACACGCTGATCCATTCTTGGAACTTTTCATGGGACTGGTCATCCTTGTCAATGCCAGGTAAGGCAGGATGTTTATTTTTATCTATGATATTTAAACTTACAAACCTGAAGCAATGATTAGATATTATCCTGCCTTTTTATGCGGTGTGTTTTTTTTAAAAATTAATATATAGTGAATTTATCAAAATTGTGCAAAAATAAATCTTCAAATTTGCTCTCTTATGATTTTGTCAGTGATTTGGATTAAGTTTCCTAAGGGTCTCATTTTATATTCCCATTTACAGTATTGAATTAGGCCTACACAGCATCACAGAGTTTTTGAAGCAAATCTGTAATTTATTATTCTTAAAAATTGGTCATTAAATTAAAAAGTGTTAAATAATTGACGTACAAGACAGCTACTAATATGTTATAGAATATTTCTGTTGAATCAACGTCATTACCCCCCCGAAATGAGCAATAACCCAAGACCTTAAACTGTGGTATGTAGAAAAAAAATGTTGCCTGTTAAAAAGCTTTTTTTTTTGGCCATTTCCAGAGACTCTATCCTAGAACATAAAGAACAAAGTAAAGAAGAATTAATTGGTAAGCAACTGCCACCACCTAGTTTTAGAAGTGCATTCTGTGGCACATCATAACCGTTGTTTGGGAATTATAGTAATGTTAAATGTTAACCTTAAGATGTTGCTTCTGTCATAAAACTACATTTGCCTTTTTTTGTGTGTTTTTACTTTCTAGAGAATATCGCCTCATTTCCACAAGCTCTTGAGGCTGAAGATATTGAAGATTTCTGCTCCCTTGCACAGTATTATGCAACAAAAACTCCACAGTCCTTTAGAAGGGTAATAACACTTTCATATATGTACATGAATTGTTAAAGATGTGGGTCCACCCAACTATAAAAGATACTCTGATCCTGAACCTCTAAGGTTTTCCAAAATAAATAAAGGAAAAGAGATATGCTTAGGCTTAAAAAGGAGAGACAAGACATTTTAAACTTTTCCAATGTTTATTCCTCATAGTTTTCGCAATGTCTCTTCCCCGAGACCGTCTCTGGTTGGTAATAATTCCTACCAGTTTTTTAACAAGCAGAGTAAATAAAATATCTTTAATATCTGAGAGGTTATCAGGAGAATCTCAAAGGAAGAATCTGCATGCTTTTGCAAAACCTTAACTTGATGCAGATGTTTCTGTGTAAATGACTGTAATCCGTGTACCGTTTCAGGACTACCAGCTGGCAATGTTTGGCAGTAGTGTGGCAGCCCAGAAGGAATCAGAGAACAACATGTACATGGACTCCCTGTGTCTGCTGGTGTCAGGGGAGGAGCTACTGCAGGCCAATCAGAATCAAGTCATCAATGTATTTCAGACTGACAATTAAAATAGAAATGTTTTGTTGTATTCCAGTATAATTGATAATTGATTAACTAGAAAACTAACAAGGATAATGCAGTTATTTAAATGTATATATATATATATATGTATATATATATATATATATATATATGATCCAAATGTTTCTACTGTTTAAAAAGCATTAACATAAAAAAACTAACTTATCTTACATCAATAATAAGTTTTTTTTTATTTTTGCATAATTACAGACCTGTTTACCCCTACAATTTCATCATAGTAACAACTTTTTCAGCCTAAGACTACAGCCTGAAAAAACTACCGCTCAATATTTTTAAAATTTAAAAAAAAAAAAAAATTAATTTATAAAAGGTAAATTTTCAGTGAAAAGTTACCATATTTTTTTGTTATCAATCTGATAACGATGACAGTCATTGTCCTTAACAGTCTCAATCCAATTTCAGTGAGCCAAATATAATGTTTAACTTTCCCCCTATCTCATTGACCAAATGGACACTACAAGTTTGAGCTTGAGACTACATTTTTTAAGAGCTGAAAACTACCGTGACACTAACCTAGGGGTAAGCAGGTCAGCATAATCCAATAAGAGCACTATCATTGAAGTGATATCAAATGTATATGACACCAAGTTCAGGGTTTATGAAGTGGTATGCAAAATTAAAACATATAGGAGTTAAGTAACTACAGGCAATAGAGTATTGATGTGTTTAGAGAGCATTTCATGGTTGGATGCTTTTTTAATGATATCTGTGGGTTTTTTTTTCTTCCATTTAACACCAAGACTAAAAGCAGACCACAGAGGCCATCTGTTGAAAACGTGCCGATCACTTGATTTGTTCATCTCTGGTCCTAATGGCTTTTGTTTTTCTTTTTATTTAAGGAAGACACAGTGAGATATTTTGTTGTGGACTGTAGACCAGCTGAACAATACAACACAGAGCACCTCATGACAGCTTTCCATCTAGATTCAAATTTGGTGAGAACATTCACAGAAACCATCCATATCTTTTTTTTTTTTTTTACAAGTTACAGTGTGTCTTTCCACTCCATTTCAATGTATTGATGACAGGAATGGAGTGAAGACAGTTTTTTTGTCTCATGATGCATGTTAATGTTGAGAACAGTGTAAAATACTTAAATTGTAAAGAGAGTTCATTGTTGTGTTTCATAGATAAAAGTAGCAGGATGGGGTAGTTATACATTAGTGATTTGATTAGTCAGTATAAATGGGTACTGATCACAGTTATTCATTATAAGAAAACTAATGATGCTAGATATTTAATACCCATGTGGTTTGTGCCCTCATTGAAACATGAAACAAAGCAAAATATTAGAAAGTGGAAATGTAACATGTCAGGTTCGACATTGGTGAAAATCCATTTCTTTATAATTTAATCATAGACTGGCCATATAATCAATCATAGATTAACCATATAATCAAAGACAGACCATATAATCATTAGACAAGCCATCTACATTTTGGATGTGATGAAAACACAGTAATGTCTTGTCTTCATTTGCTTCTCCTCAGATGCTCCAAAACCCAGAAGAGTTTAATGTGGCCGTGCAAGCTTTGTTTACAGCTCAGGCCCAAGCACTTGCTGCAGGTCTGGCTTTAGTCAATGTCATAGAAGTTGATATTTTAGTTTAATTAAGAAATAAAATAAACAATCAAAATGATCAGTTCCTACTCACTAGAGGAATAGTTCATAATTTATTATTTTAAAGAAAAGGTCTCTTGTTATTGGCACAAGACACTTTCAGGGATTCTGTTATTTTGTTGATTTTTTTTTTTATTAAAGAGGACACATTGTTCAAGATTTCCATGTTTTTAAAAATTAAAGAGATATAAATCTTAAACAATTTTTTGATTTGGTAAAAAATTCACTAATTTATTAGGTTTACTTTAATAGTTTGGTGTCTAAAATTTTCTTTTATTCATTGTGGACTGCTAAAAAAACATATTTATTCATTAGAATTAGATACTGACTTGACTGCAGTCAATGGTATTCTTTAAATCTCTTCCTAATGCTGATCAAGCTGTCTTGTGTATTGCAGGGTCAGCAGCATCAGGTGAACACCTTTGCTTCATGGGAAGTGGTAGGGAAGAGGAAGACCAATATGTCAACATGGTTGTGGCCAACATATTGCAGAAAGGCAAACAATATGTATCCATTGCCAAGGGAGGCTATCCTGGTAAAGTCACCATAAGATAATCCTTGTTTATCCACAATATCAACCAAGTACCAGTGCTTCTGTGAAAGAACTTTATAAAGTGTTATTTAAATTTATGCTTTGTAGAAAAAAAATTGTTGCTTATTTTTAAAAAAATAAAAAATTTATAACCATTTAATTCACAGCAATTCACAACATTTTAAAAGCCACGTCACAAAATGGAGGTATGAACTTCGACCTGGTGGTCTCCCACAACAGTGATAATAACTCAAACCACAGTGGCAGTGGCCTGGGAGAGGGGATGATGAAAGGTGGTCAAAGACTGGACAAAAATTCTATGAAATATGTGAGCATTAGTGTTTAGTAGAGTTAATTTTTTTTTAAATCCTCAGTGTTGAAATGGTCTTAAACTGGACTTAAGATTACCTTTTTAATTAGTAAAAGATTCTGCATCCACTTGTCAGGCCAAATATAATTTCTCATTTGTAGGCTTATAGTTTATGTTAGTTTTATTTCCTTAGTAAATATTATTTGGTAACCAAAAATTTTAATGAATTCACGCAAATGATCATGCATAAAAGAGCCACTATTTTATTGTGTATATAAATATTTTATTGAATTACTCATTTGTTATAAAATTATGTAAAATTCAAAGAAAATGTGCTTAAATTAGGAGCAATGTACATTCTATAATTTCTTTCATCATTTGCTTTAACATGATTTTTAAAATTTAATATTGTATAGTTTTCTAAAGATCTTCTCGGCAAGCTCTCTGGAGTGGTCAAATCAAAATCTGCAGAGATGAAGGAAAAATTATCCAACTATATCAAGAATGATGGTGCAGGAGAAAGGTAAGACACTTTTTATGTATCTTTTGGCTCAAATCTTTGTACATGTCAAATGTGGACAACAAAGAGGGTATCATACTGTTTGGGAATACACCTTTTAAATATAGATGGAATTAACATTTGATGCTCATCAGCTTTTAGCAATTTATCAAGATTGAACAAAAAGTAGGGAAGTAAAATTGGTTAGTTAAGTCATCATAGTTAAATAAATGCTGAAAAATAAATATAGGGTGAGTGGGAGCCAGGCTTGATACATATACATTTTTTAAATAAGGGTCAAGCAGGTGTATATAAAAATAGTTATATGATCTTGGTTACAAATTTATAGTACATGTAGAGTTTTAAAAATACTATATTGATGTACAGTGTAACAATGTAATTTTTATAATATGTTTTAATTAGATTTTGTTTTTTTCCTGTGGCTATTCCAATCTTGTTGTTTTATGTATTGCACAACTGCATATGATGCTCTTTATATTAAACCAGGCATGTGAGTAGTGCTGAGAGGACTGGTAAGAGGTACAGAAACATGGCCAATGTGTTTACTATTGGAGATGATGATGAAGGTGAGCCCTTTATTTCAGGTTATTTTATGCTTGTGTTGATTTCAATTCTGGATTATGTGAAATCCTACCTGATTGAATTCTAATTATCCTGCCTGATTGAACTGCTAAATATCCTGGCTGACTGAACTGCTAAATATCCTGCCTGATTGGACTGCTTAGTAATTTAGTCATTTAACTTATGAAAAGTTATGTTGTGACTAATGCCCTGATAAGGATGTTGTAATTTAGGGTGCATTTGTTAATGTTTACAAACTCTACTGAAAAGTGACAGATGCCCTCATTTTTGTCTGCTTATAACAGAAGCAAACACCCATTGTGGTTGTTTCTTGTGTACATCTTGATGTAATATTTTGATGTAATATTTTCTGTAAATGTCTAGCAGCATTATGACTGTTGGTGAAAAAATGCTACTATCAATTTTTATTCCCAACTATAGTTGAGGACTGCAGTGCTGTGGACTCGGACGAAGAGGATCAGAATCGTGAAGTGGTCAGCCTGGAGACCTGGATTCAGAAACCAGATGTTGTTTACTCGTGTAGGTGTACAGAGTACCGGCCAAGTGGGCAATCATTTTCAAGGTAGGCTTTTATGCCAGTCTTAGAATCATTTAATTTTCATATGGTCAATGACATACATTTTGCTGTTGTCGTGCACTAGGAAAAATTGAATTTACATCATTAAAAGAAAAGATTTGGTGATGTGCATGACTAAAAGTTTTGCCTAGACAGTGATGTAATTCCAAGATTTAGTAATTATGGTCAATGAGTTACAGACATATCAGGAAATATGTACAAAAGAAATTTTTGTATAATTAAAATTGTTAGACGTAGATTTATTAATTTAGGGAAGGTTCGAGTGACAAATAAACTTTTAAATAAAATTTATTTTGTTTTTGTGTTTTTTCCCATTATTTCACTTTGAAAGAAACTTCTTTTCAAACAAATTGTAGTCAAAAATTTATCAAAACAAATTCCATTCATAGAAATTCCCAGTAGCCATTTTTTACAGAGGAGCTTTAATTTTCACAAAGAGCCTGCTGTCTTGTATGAGGTGCAAGTTAAAACGGATAAGCGATGTTAGCTGCACAGCTCTTTCACCTGTTCATCCACCTTAATAATTAGAAACAGCTATTTTTTTATATTCCAGATAATGTCAGTGCTGTTAGTTAAAGATTTTTTTTAGCGAATATTTATATAAGACTTAATTATTTATTTTTTCAGTTATCTCCTGGTAACCTTAAGTCATCTATACGTCTTGCGTGAAATCCCCTCTCGAAAAGGCATGGCTGTAATAATTGCAAGAAAGGCCCTTGGGACGGTTATTAAAATAACTTCCAAGAAAAAGCAGCCAGAACTGATTACAATAAAATACGGAACTCATGAGGATGACGGATTTCACGTCACAGATGTTCACAGGTCAGCCATCTTTTTTTTCGTAAGATCAATTGCCTTTACCCTTCATTTAAAAAAAACAACTTTTATCCCACTTGAAATGAGCATGTTTGGTTGTATCATGTTTAATGGCTCATACCTGTTACAGTTATCTTGATTTCCTTTGTATAACTCGATGCTCTAACCTATTTGGCTGATCTTTCACTTACAAATTCTTTATATAATAATAATTATAATAATAAAGTTCATTTCAAAAACACGCTTTAAATATTTAACATACACCTATGCAACCAAGAATTGCACTAATAAACAATCTATTCAAATCAAGTAACCCTACACATATGAGAGTTGTAAATACTTTGTTTTTATATTGGCCTTCAAAAAGATTGAATGTATTGTTTATAACATATTTGAAGACTGATAACAAGAACTTTGGATGTCAGTGCCAGTCACTCCGTATTTTCAGTTTCAATATGCCACTTAAGTTGCTGAAATTTTTAAAATCCTTGTTGTGTTGTATTTGAGTAGAATCTTTATCCTTTTGGTTAGCGGCACTAAGATATTGAGGGGGGAAAAAGTGCTAATTTTATTTCACACCATCCTCTTACTGTGACAATTTATTTTAAAGTTTTTAATTTTGATTAAATTCATGTGTGAAATGTTATGTTACTTCCTATTTACTTCTGCACTAATTATCTTGAACTGAGTTACCTTTATTAAAAAGTTACAAGCAGTGAGTGAATCAGCCAATATCTAAAGTCACCAATTAAGTACCTTATCATCTTTTAATATCAACTAGCTCATTAAAAATATCTCACAGTTGCTTTGTTATTTTAGACCACTTAATTTAATGTTATCACTTTCGCCATATGAAAATTGCACAAGAAGAACCATGCTAAATTTAAAAAAATTAACGTTACACAAAAAACGAATATATTTTGTTCCCCTCCCAGGTTCTACATTCCGACCGCCTCAGACGCCACCCGGGTCATCAAACAACAGATAATGAAAGTACTGGACGCACTCGACAGTTGACACAGCTCACTATGAGAACTTGCAAGTTATCCCTGTCCCTTCTGAGTACATTTCCTTTCAGTGTTGTAACCCTCCTACAGACATGATAACACTTTTTTTATTTCCTTCAACTAACAAGAAGGAAATAGAAGTATTTTCACTATGTTTTGCTTTGTGAATAAAAAAAAAAAAGCCATAACTTTTAGTGAAGAATGTTACATAGCAAAATTCTTATTTGCTTATGAGGGATTTTATGTAAATAACGGTTCAAATATCTTATAATTTTTTTTTTTTAAAACAGAGTTATTCCACCTATCCCGAGCTAAAAAAGAATTTTCTTTGTTTTCAAAGTAGTAAATCGTCATCATCATTTGCACATGATCTAAACTGCTCCCTTCTGTCTAGTCATCATATGCACAGTGTGCAAATTATTGCTGCCGACAGAGTGAAGTTGAAACTGTCAGACCATGCCTCATCGGATTTTTATTCAGTAAAAACAGTCATGTCTGTCCTATACAAAAATCTATTTCTATCTGCCCTAGACAACAATCTTTTTTTATCTGCCCTAGAAAACAATATATTTATATCTGCCCTAGACCACAACCTATTTCTATCTGCCTTAGACTACAATCTATTTTTATCTGCCCTAGACAACATCCTCAGCATGTTGGCAATCATTCAAGTGAGTCGTATGTATTTCCAAGATGCAGCCTCCTCCTCCATTTCAGACCCCAACTTAGTTTATTTGTACAAATCTTAAAGACAATATGCTACAATCCCTGATGTTATTTTTTTCTTAATTTGTCTTTTTTTTTTTTGAATCAGGGCATTTGTGGCACTTAGATTAATGAGATAGTCAGAGCTTCACCACTGGCATCTTGAGTTTATTAACAAAGAGGGCTTGCCAGAATGTGACATGAAATTCCTCTGTAACTTGTAAATAAAAACCTTCATTGTGATACAATATTAATGCACTGTAAAGTTCATTTTGAATGTCATGTCTTGATAATGCTATGTGTAAAGTTGTGCATAGATGGTGTGACTGTACAATGATCAAAGGGAATTAACCATGTAAATAAAAATTAACTAACAAAGCGGGCTTACTTATCTTTTATTCCTTTTTCAAACTGTCATTTGTGGTGTGTGAAAAAAAACATAATTATTTGTATTCACTTTATATGACACCACTTGGTTATCTGTAACGTTCAAGATAGCTGGGATAAGCTGTCAGTTTTTTTTCACCGGAAATGTTCCTCCTAGCTGAGAGCAAACTAGTTCTTAAAAACCCCAAAACTTTAAGCACCAACAACATTATCAATTAAATTATAAAATATTTCTTGTAGATACTCTTCTTAATGAATTCAATAGTATAAAGCACTATAGATTTGTAGAACTTTTCAAACAAAATTTAGTGACTCATGAAAGGGGGTTCTCCATGTTTAAACTTCATTTCTCCCTTCTGACTCACATGAGCAGATCTACAGTAAGATGTCTTATCACTGAAATATAAATTGTATGAAACTTTAGGATGTCAATCAATGCTGTGTTGAGACGCACAGTTTCATTATTTTGTACCGCCTTTTAGGAAGCGGGCAGCTTGAAAATAAAACAATAAAATGTTAATTCTGTGGACAATGTAAAATAGATGAATAAAAAAAAAAAACACATCTGATTTACTATTTAACTAAAAGGCCTTTTCTTTTCTTGTTAAAGTCATTAAAAGTGCAATGAATGGACAAGAAACCAGTTGAAAAAAAATTTGCCTCATCATTTGACACAGATAGCCAGGGTTTTAAGCCCAGGTTTCTTACTCACTAGAAGGATATTCTTGAAAATGAACTGCAGTTTTGCTGAAAAGGAAGACAGGGAGAGTACTTTCTACATATATAAGATGTTACATCTGAAAATTAATTATTGTTTGGAAAGTCTTCAATAGCAGACATTTTTTTTTCATCAAGTAGTTGCAGGAAAGATATTGCTGTTCTTCCTGAAGTTGAAACTTAATTCAAATCTCTATTATTTTAATCCAGTGTACAAGGTACCTTGTCCAACAATTACTGATGAGATCTATAGATAGCAGAAAGATGCTAGCACTTGGTAAAGCGAATGTAATAATAATTGTAATATAAATTATGCTTTGTCTTAATTCAAAGATCCTAAAATGAGTTTTATGAATTAACCCCTCAACCACCGATAGCGAACATTTTTTTGGGAACACGATGAAATAGTAATATAAATATGCTTTGTCTTAATTCAAATATTCTAAAACATGTTATACTGGCTCTCATGAGGTTGTGTTTGTTTTTCTTCGACCTACTTTAGAGTTTGTGTCATGCAAGTAGCAGAACCTATATTTTGTTTAGCGGCTTACATTTAAATATGCAAATATTTGTTTGTACAAACAGCTCCCATTTTGATGATTTGGAATTTATAATTAGTGCGCAATGTGATGCCATCATCACCATTTGTACAAATATATGCCTATTTGTTTTTTCTAATATAAATTTTTTTTTTAAATTTATGGCTATCTCTTTATTATATTTATTTCACAACAAACATCTTTTTCCTGTTATAGAAGTGAGAGTTACAGATTAACATGTTTGCAATGTCTCTCTAAAGTGATTAAAATATGTAGATGGATTATTTTTTAGTGTAGCTAAAAATAGTTAAAATTTGTAGATGTATTCTTTTTATGGCACGGTAACTAAAAATAGTTAAAATTTGTAGAGGGATTCTTTTCAGTCTAACCTAAAATAGTTCAAATGTGCAGATGGATTATTTTTAGTACAATCAATGTAAATATGATTATTAAACAGCAGATCGAGAAAGGTGAGAAGGAGCCAGTTCTTGTCCAAAGTCTTTACAATAGAGTCCTCGCCTCTTTAATTAATTAATCATGTATTTTAAAAAATGAGCAAAAGCCTGATTTCCACATGTGAACTTTCTATGTGAAGGTGCCACCTCTGAACTTTTTGACTGGATTGCTACACTCTGTTTAATTCATTAATTTGTTGTTTTCTCATCAGGAATTTTTATGGGAGTTTTCATATGTATTCTTTACTAAATTATAAATGTGCTAAAGATGTAAGGTAATTTTGTAATGAAAAAAAAAAAAATATTGTTACTTGAGATCTTGTAATTTTCACATGGGATCAGTTTAGATTGTTTAGAAATTGACATTTTAAATTCTAGTGTATCAAGAAAGTGACAATGAGTTTTGGTATCTTCACTTTATTGATGTTGACAAACGTTTTCATGACTAATTTTGTGAAAATTGGGTCAAGCTCAAATTTGCTGTTTCTTCAATGTTCCTGGGGGTGAAAGCACTCCATCTGTGTTATGTAAATTTACACCTGATGACTGTTTTTTTTCCTGTTTTACAAAATGTCAAACATTGTTCACGGCATCCTCACATTTCAATGTAAATATATATCGTCCATCTTATTTATTGCCAGTGCTAATACTCTCTAAACCTTAATAAAAATGTTCTCTTCTGATTTCAATCTCGGGGTCCTAATGCCACTGTCTGGTATAATCATAATCATAACACTGGTTCTCTGTTATGATTATTATTCTATTTTTTTTTTTTTTTAGTTCTGGATTTATTCTGGCATATAAAGATATATTAGATAAGAGCTTTGTCGTTGACACCAAGTAGACAGTTGGATAGTGGCGTCTCAATTTTAAGGTTGAGTTTTTTGTGTGCATAGTTTACCGGTTCTCCAAGAATAGCTGACTTTTGTGTTGGGGAATCACTCTACCCATAGCTGAGGAGTGGCTCTAACTAAACCAATGCCTGGGGAATTAACTCTACCCATAGCTGAGGAGTGGCTCTAACAAAACCAATGCCTGGGGAATCACTCTACCCATAGCTGAGGAGTGGCTCTAACAAAACCAATGCCTGGGGAATCACTCTACCCATAGCTGAGGAGTGGCTCTAACTAAACCAATGCCTGGGAAATTAACTCTACCCATAGCTGGGGAGTGGCTCTAACTAAACCAATGCCCGGGGCATTAACTCTACCCATAGCTGGGGAGTAAATCTAAACCAATGACTGGGAAACCAACTTTTCCCTTTAGCTGGGGAGTCTACTAAACCCATACCTGGGGAGTCCACTCCACCCATACCTGGGGAGTTCACTCCACCCATACCTGGGGAGTTCACTCCACCCATACCTGGAGATTCCTATCCACCCATAGCTCGGGAGTCTAATCCACCCATAATTGGGGAGTCTACTCCACCCATAATTGGGGAGTCTACTCCACCCACAGCTCGGGAGTCTACTCCACCCATAATTTGGGAGTCCGCTATACCCATACCTGGTGAATCCACTCCACCCATACCTCGGGAGTCCACTCCACCCACGCCTCGGGATGACCAAGGAAGACTTCGTACTGACTGTCGGTTGACGGTGTCAGATACCGTTATCATTGCCCCAAAGTACAGACTAAAAGATTATCTTATATTCACGTTCCCTGGTTTACAAACAAGTCTGCCTAAGGGCAGTAACTACATCCATTGAGATTTTTGTTTCCGATCAAGATCCAAAAATAACCTCAACATTCAAATCTAGGCCGTCGCCAAGAAGTGTTTCTCAAACTTTTCAGGTCTCTGGTTACATACTGTCAGGTGGCCAGACTGCAGAACTGGCCAGTGGGTCAGGGGCCTGCAGATCGCTAACCTTCAGTTTGATGGGTACAGTTTAAATGGTGTTTCTATTGCTCCTTGGCCTGCTCAATCTAAGATGTTTAGAATCCCTGTGTCGCAAACCAATTTAGCAATGCTGCTGCAGTTTTATAGTTTATGTGACATGTGTAAATTATTTCAATTTGCGTGCAAAGAGGTTGGGGGGTGGGGGGTGGGGGGACAATTACATTTTTTGGATTTAGCAATTAAGTACAATATATTGGATTTATTTTTTGACAGCTGTTGATAAAATATTTCGGTTCATATCTTCATTGATCAATGTTAACATGTGGGGATTTTTTTTTCTTTTGTTTCTTTTTTGTTTTTGTTTTTTGAATATATATAAAGTAACACGCATGAATTCAGAATTTAATTTCCATTAACATATGTTATGTCTCTGTCAACTGCATTGCATTATTGCAATTAAAGAATAACAAAATACTGAATGTGTGTTGAGTGTGGGGTCATTTTTGGGGGTCAACTGTGTTGTCCGAGCAGTGAGAATATTTTGTGTGAAACAGCCATAAAAGAAAATATAGCGTGTTGCCAAGAGTACACCACTTTGGTCTGTCCTACCATCCTTTGGTCTGTCCTACCATCCTTAAGTAAGCCTTTGGTCTGTCCCGCCAAACTTTTGTTTGTTCTACCATCCTTTGGTCTGTCCTTCCTACCATCCTTTGATCTGTCCAGCCACACTTTTGTTTGTTCTACCATCCTTTGATCTGTCCAGCCACACTTTTGTTTGTTCTACCAACCTTTGGTCTGTCCAACCACACTTTTGTTTGTTCTACCAACCTTTGGTCTGTCCAACCACACTTTTGTTTTTTCTACCATCCTTTGGTCTGTCCAGCCACACTTTTGTTTGTTCTACCATCCTTTGGTCTGTCCTACCATCCTTAAGTAAGCCTTTGGTCTGTCCCGCCAAACTTTTGTTTGTTCTACCAACCTTTGGTCTGTCCAACCACACTTTTGTTTGTTCTACCATCCCTTGGTCTGTCCAACCACACTTTTGTTTGTTCTACCAACCCTTGGTCTGTCCAACCACACTTTTTTTGTTCTACCAACCTTTGGTCTGTCCAACCACACTTTTGTTTGTTCTACCATCCTTTGATCTGTCCAGCCACACTTTTGTTTGTTCTACCATCCTTTGGTCTGTCCAGCCACACTTTTGTTTGTTCTACCAACCTTTGGTCTGTCCAACCACACTTTTGTTTGTTCTACCAACCTTTGGTCTGTCCAACCACACTTTTGTTTGTTCTACCAACCTTTGGTCTGTCCAGCCACACTTTTGTTTGTTCTACCAACCTTTGGTCTGTCCAGCCACACTTTTGTTTGTTCTACCAACCTTTGGTCTGTCCAGCCACACTTTTGTTTGTTCTACCAACCTTTGGTCTGTCCAACCACACTTTTGTTTGTTCTACCAACCTTTGGTCTGTCCAGCCACACTTTTGTTTGTTCTACCAACCTTTGGTCTGTCCAGCCACACTTTTGTTTGTTCTACCAACCTTTG